AAAAAAAAACCAGGTGTGGGCCGGGCCGGCCTTCCAGACCATGGTCCGTTACGGACTGTACGATGTTCTGGATCCAGACGCTCTAGACCCAGTTCGACGAGAACTCACCACTCATCAGAAAACTCCATTTTCGGCGAATTTCAATCCTTTTTTTTCATTTTTTTGTGTCATTTCAACCTCAAATTTGATATTTTCTTCCATTTTAACTATAAATAAACTTCAAAATTTGTTTTTAACTCATAACATATTCAATGAACAAATTTTCAAATTTCAAACATTAACAGCAACAAAAAATTATTTCAATGAAGAATAAGAAAAAAGCTAAACCCTTTGAGAAATGGCGATCTTCGACGATGCTTCGATCTGGGTCGTTCGGTGTCAGGAATGAGATTTTGCTTTTTCATTTTTTTTTCTTCTTTTCATCTTCTCTTCTTTTTATTTGAGGGTATTTTCGACTATTTGACTTTTGTTTGCATTTTCAGGGTTTGTTTTTTTTTTTTTTTTCAAAGGCCGTTTTGAAAAAATGACTGGATCAACTGGCCGTTGGCCACTATTTCCACCCGTTCAAAATATTAATATGAAAGTCTAGTTGGTTGCTGATACAGAAATATGTGTCTACAAAAAGTGAGACAATAGAAATGAATCCACGTTTGATCAAGTGAAGATTTAACATGACAAAAACCCTAAATTTAAATCTACCCAAAATTTTTAAGAAGAAAAAATCCTCTTCCTTCACCACTACTGTATAGGGAGTGACGGAGAAATTTGACCTTTAAAAATAAATAAAGAAATGGATAACTCGATAATATTGAATCCAGTAACTTTATTTACTATAATATTATATTGAAGCATTTCATATAAAAGATTAATCTATCTGAGAAAACTTTTATATTTATCTAAATGTAATCCATAAAAATATATGAATTGTCTCGTGCAAAAGATTAAAGCCTTTGTGTGTCAAAATTTATATATCATTTATAAAGTTAAATTTCATTTTCAACTACACATTTCAATTGATCACAAATATTATTCACTTATTCACCATTCCCCAAACAAAGGCTAAGTAATCATAGGCGTATTTATGCATTGAAATGTAACTTGGAAACCGGATCTATTTTTTAATAAAAGCTTGATATGTGATAATTTTTTATTTGTGGTAGTGGTATCGGCGATTCCTGAATTCAAGTCTTTTATCTAAACAATGATATCATGTAAAATTATTTTATTTAAAAACTTTGATTGTTAGAGAGAAAATAAACACAATTAATTATTATATTTAGAGCATGCTTGAGCCAAGTTTTAGCCAAAAAATACATTTGAAATAGTGAGTTGGTGGAGAATATATGATTAAAAAATAAGAAAAAAGTTTTGCATTTACTTTTAATATTATTTTATGAAAAAACGTGTGGTTGAAAAAAAAAGAAAAAAATATATTTTGAACATAATATGGACCAATCAAGGCCTTAGAATTTATAAACCTCCTCAAATGCTAGCCCCACCGCTTAACATTTATACAATTTTAATAAATGAATAGGGATGAATTTTGAATTCACGATCTTTCTATGCTCTAATTTCTCGTGAACCGACGTATATGTAATAGTGTATTTGATTGGCATGGAAAATAGCACAAAAAAAGAAAATATTTTCCTTGTTTTGAAAAAAAAATAATAAAAATCTACTCCTCAAAAAAAAAATCCTTAAAAACAATGAAAACTAGGCATATTTTCAATGAAAAAAATAGCAATCAAACACTCTAAAGTAGGAATTTGGATGAATAAATGCAATCAAATACACCGTAAGGGTACATTTAATTGCGAGCATGAAATTTGCATGAAAAAAAAAATTCTAAGCAATTCAATTTCGTAGGATTTATTTGTATGAAAATTATTAATTAAACATGTTTGATTGATTTCATTTTCAATTTAGAAAATATTATATTTGTCCATTTTTTATTGGTGGATAGATACGAGAGAGAAAGAGAGAATGAATTTCTTGGAAAAGAAAATCTCATTTCCCCCTAAAGAAAATATTTTTCTTAATTTTGATGAAAATAAGGTCACGTGATCAAAAGTAGAAAAATATTTTCTATGAAAAAAATGTCAATCAAACAGCAAAAAAGTAAAAATTCAAGTCGAAAAAATACATTTTTCATAAAAAATACTCGCAGTCAAACGCATAATTAAATAATTGACCAATGCAAAACAATGAGTTAGGTGCTTTCCCATCTGTATTCATTAATATCTTAAAGAATTTATTACCTATGTCTTTATCATAATTCAATGAGTTGAAGACAAACTCAACAAAAGGAGAAAGGACTACGCGGAGTCTTCACATTAATTCCTCACCAAGAAAACACTGGGGACATGCATATAAAATCATTTACGACCGTCGTTGTCTTTGCTGTCAAGTTTGAAAACGGGCAAACCAAACTAAGAAAACTTGATTTGGAACAAACTTTTCTTTTTCTTAACTTCATTTTAGAAAAGGAAATAGTTTTCTTAGCTAGTACAAGCTTCACTTTTTCCCCCCTTTTGGGCACATTGTTTACAACTCAATAATATTTGTCAAATTAAATTTTTTCTGTTTAAAGAAGAAAGTGCAAATATAATTGGGTCAAACTTCTTGCAAACTTCTTGAATTAAAAAAAATACAATTTTAATTTATTATATTAATAATATAAATCGTTCAAAGAGAGTCTCTGACCCGACACTATAATTGTTGACTTTGATTTAGATTTTAACTAAATTTTTAGTTGAATGAAAGAGGGGGCATAATTTTTTTGAGTCTTACTATTTTGTTTGGATATCAAATGAACCTAATGGAGACAAGTTTCAATAAATTTGATGGACACCATGAGAAATTTTTAATAACCCAATCACTATCTTGACAAACAAGACTAATAGATGCTTCGTTGAAAAAACACCAATATTGCCCTCATCTGCAACTGTATTGCTGTGTTCATCTACCTGTCCTTCATTTTGTTCTCTTTTTCCAGATTCTACATTCACTTTTCTTGTTGCCAAGTTTGTTACAGTGGTAATATTTTTTTCTAAATTTTGATTTTCCTCTAGAAAAATCTCTCTTGTTGTGTATGTTAGGCGTTCTGCTTTTGCTTCTCTCACGCCTGTCATATCTTTCGGTAACAGGAGTTTCATAAGAAGATTCTTCCCTTTCTTTTCTTCTAGCTTCTTCATTGAGGAGACTATTTTTAACCATGTCCATGGTTCGCTTTTCGTTTGGTGTCAAATTGCTCAATTATACAACCAGTGTATCCTAGCTATCTGGCAACGAGCTTAGTCAATGGATTGACTAAGCTCGCTAGTATGTTCAGTCACACTATGCTCTTCCCTATACTTCAAGTTCACAAGCCTTTTAATTATCATGGCTTTGTCCCTGGATG